CTCGGCCCCTTTCCCCCCCCTGTCCCCTCTTGCTGTCCTTCCCCCCCCCCCCCCCGTGTTCCTGCTCTCTGTCCCCTCTCTCTGTTTCCCCGCTCTCTCTCTATGGCGACCGGCCATGGCGGTCAGCCATTTACCCCTGTTCCTCTTTTTAGTCTCCCCATTCTACCGGCCCTTATAATAAACTTATAGTCAATATGTCTGTCTCAATATTTCTCTTTTCTTCTTTTTAAACAAAAGAATAACAATTACATATTCAGATGAAGTTCACAGCCCCCAGAATGTGAGAGACAGGCCTTGTTACAAATAGACAGAATGAAGTCAAGATGTAGAGAGTCCTACCAGGGATTTTCTTGGCCCAGCCAATCATGTGTACCAGTTCCTTGTCGGCCAGCTTAGTGAGAGACATCATCATGGAGGCCTCGGTGAAGGGCATGCTGGGACGGCTCACTAGCACATTGGGCGGCTCTGCCTCCAGGAGGGTGAGCACCAGCTGCTCTGGGCTCAGGGTGCTCAGCAGTAGCTCCTTCACACGGGGGACATGCCCACTGTTTCTCTTGGCTTTGCTCAGGCAGTGCATCTGCTCACTGGAACTTCTCTGTCTTCGTACTATACGGTACCCACACCTTTCTCTCCTGGATCCTAAAGAGGAGAGCAGATGACAATCTAGTGGTTTCTCCGCCCAAGGTTCCAGCTCACAGAATGACCAGTCTAAAATGATAAGGGGCTGAGGGTGTAGGTGAGTAGGTTAAGTGCTCGACTCGAAAGTGCAAGGCCCTGAGTTCGACTCCCAGTCCCAGCACTGTAAGAAACTGTGTTGACAACATCATTCCAATTTTTATTTTGGAGTCTGTGGGCCATGGAAAAAGATAACAACTGTCTGAGTGTATTAGCAACATAACGTGTTTGGGAACTTCTACTCCGTTTCAAGGTTATCACTGGCTACTGAATCTGTTTCTCTTCTAAAGTGCACTGATAGACCCCAGGTTCAAAGATATGAAGTTAGACATTTTCCTCAAGTAGAAAATAAAGAAAAATCAGGACTTTAACATTGCTATTTCCAGTTAGCAAATAATACATGCTAACGACATTTCAAAAACATTTCTATACAGGTACGTATTTTTTTCTTTTTATATACTTACACAAACAAATATATTTCAAATAAATTAACTGAAAAGGCCTGGAAAATACAAGAGAAAATTAATTTTGGCATAAATTATTTCATTTATCTTTTCTTTTATGCTTCTTTATATTTTATAAACAAAATTCAAATCATAGCATATATGCAATTTCATAAACTACTCTTAATCTTATTGAAAATATGTCACTTGTGCTGGGGAGAGAGCTCAGTGAGTAACAGCATCAGCCATACAAGCTTCACGACCTGAGTTCAACACTCAGAATTCAAGTAAACAAAGCCTTATATGCCAGGTGTAGTGGACCATACCTGTGATTCCAGCACTCTCAAGGCAGAAGTTATGTGCATCTCTGTGAGTTTGTGGCCAGCCTGGTCTACAGAGTAAGTTCCAGGACAGCCAAGCCTACATAATGAGAACCTGTCCTGGGGGGCGGCGGGGTGGGGGGCAACATTACATTTGTAATCCCAGCACTCCTATAGAAGACAGAGACAAAAGACTACCCAGAAGCCCACAGTCCAGCTAGCCTCGAGAATACAGTGCCAAAAAAGAACAAGAGAGACACTGCCTCAACAGGATGGAAAGAGACAACTGATTCCCAAAAGTTGTCTGATCTCCATGGTGTGCTGTAACACATACACACCCCATACACACATGAATATACAACAATAAACCAAGTTCACATCCATCCCATTAATACAACATCACTTATTTCACTGGAACCCAGGAAGAGCCTAGAGGATCACCACACATCCCAGGCCAACTTGAGATACTTACTATAGTTCCAGGCCAGCGTGAACTGTAGAGTAAAGGAGACCATACCTCAAAAAACAGAACCTAAAATGTCCCATGCTGATATAAGGCTATGTTATTATAATTTCTTTATTAAGTACTGCAGTGAAAAATGTGCCTTATTGGTGTATTCAATTACTTCTTTATAATAAATTCAAAGAAGTTAACTTGTTCAAACAAGGAATACATACATTAAAAAAAATTATAGTTATTGGTAGATTACCTTCCAAAATATTTAAAAATTCATAATCTAAACAGTAATTTAAGGATTAATTGTTTTCCCATAATATTGGACATTAGTGTTACTTTTAATCTTTGTTGGTTTTGGGAATGGTAAACAGTCTTTTCTTACTTTGCATTTTTAAAATTATTAGTAATGTTCACAAAATGTTTGCCCTTTGTATTTCTTTCCTTGTACATTGCTTATCTTTTTAGGTGGGGGTTCAAGACAGGGTTTTTCTGTGCAGTCCTAGCTGTCCTGGAATTCACTTTGTAGACCAGGCTGGCCTCAAACTCACAGAGATCTGCCTGTCTCTGCCTCCCCAGTTCTGGGATTAAAGATGCTCCAACACTGCCCGACTTGTCTATTTATTTTTATGCTTTTCTCTTCTAAAATGTATTATTTTTGTCAGTTTAAATTTTTATTTAACTTAAAAGGTGGAAAAATGTGTATTTCAAGTCTTATTAAATTTATTTACCTGAAATATATGTTTACATAGAGGACAAACAGATACAGGATTTCAAGTAACTAATGGAACAGTCATTATCTGTTAAAAATATTCTTCTTTCTTCCACACACATCTTTCCTTTTTACAGTATAAAAGCTAGATGCAAACTTTTGATGTAAACTTATCTCATTGTTAACTCTGTTGATGAAAATGGGAGACACACTTGTTCACGGTTCAGTTAAATACACAAACAAAAAGCTGTTTCCTCAGACACAAAGATGCCCCATGTCTCTCACAGTAGGACTGTGTGCTTCATGTTCACACCACATCATTTCTTCTTCTTGCCTTTCCCTTTTTTACTCTCCTCTCCTTTTTTGTGTCCTTGTTTTTAGCTTGGGTACCATTTCTGCTACATACAACACCACTGACTTACGTAACAGGAACTGTACAGGACAGAAGCTGCCATCTTCCTGTCTGAGCTGTACCCAGACTCTGTTTCTGTACTGAACATCAAGGTTCCATTCTCTGGAGTACATTTTGTTTGTCTCCAGAAAAGCATTCAGTCCAGCTGCTGAGCATACATCCTGAATCTCAGTAGCGGTAGGGTTTTCTACAGCCTTGCTTATGGGAATCTGCCTCTCCTCCTCTGTGGTCTTGTTATTATTTAAATAAGCGAGGTAGATACAAATAAACCTGTCTTGGTCTGCCAGGACCCACAGCTGCACAAGCTGGAAATTCTCTTCTAAAATTTATAAAGGCTCTTTGTATAACATTGCTGCATGCAGCATCTGGCTTGCTTTGTGTGCTTAACCTTTGTTCATAGTATCTTCTGCCATAAGAAGCTTTATTAAAAGCCGGGCGTTGGTGGTGCACCCCTTTAATCCCAGCACTCAGGAGGCAGAGGCAGGCAGATCTCGGTGAGTTCGAGCCCAGCCTAGTCTCCAGAGTGAGTGCCAGAAAAGGCCCCACAGAGGAACCCTGTCTCGAAAAACCAAAAAAAAAAAAAAGCTTTATTAAGAGGTTGGAGAGATGGCTCAGCAGTTAAGAGCACTGGCTGCTCTTCCAGAAGGCCCAGGTTCAATTCCCAGCACCCACATGGCAGCTCACAACTGTAACTGTAAACTGTAATTCCAGGGATCTGATACCCTCACACAGTCATACATGCATACAAAACACCAATGCACATAAAAGTAAATAAATCATAAAAAAAAATAAAAAGAGGCTTTAAAATGGTCAATTTGTTTTACATCAAGGCTATAAAAGTATTCTCCTTTATCTTCATAAACACTCATGTGGTTAAAACCTATCTGGAATTTTATACATGTTTGTATTAAGTACATATTTGTATTATGTGAGGTTAATATTTCATGTCACATTCCCCAAAGTGATAAACAGTTTTCCCTACACTTGTTATAACATAAGCTTTTTCCTGCCAATTTTAAGTGCCTGTCAAATAATAAATATTTATTTATTCAGGTGATTTATTACTGATTCTCTACTCAGTCTTACTGATCTGTACTTCTATGAGGGGGAAAACCAGGAGTGGTAATATAAACCTCTAATTCCAGTACTCAGGAGGTGTGGGCAGAAGGACCAGGAGGAGCTCAAGGGCATTTTGGCTACATAGTGAGTTCAAGGCCAGCCTGGATGGAATACATGAGACTGTTTTAATGTTTTGAGACAAGGATCTCATTCTGTAGACCAGGCTAGCCTCAAATTCCTAGAAATATATCTTCCTTGACCTCCTAAGCACTGGGATTACTGGGATTAGCCACCATGCCTGGCAAAGATATATTGATATTTTTCATTATTTGAATATATATGTAGGTCATTTTTATTAATTTGAATACTATACACATATATACATAAATATATTTGAATATATGCACACACATACACATATATACACACGTTGGGCATTTTTATTAATTTCCAGTATCTCCTGTTTTTTTTCCTTTATTTACCCCTTGAGAGTTTCATACATACATATAATATGTTTTGATCAAATCTATCCCCCATTCCACTCCCTTGTTTGAGTTTTGAAATAGGGCCTTCAAATGTAGCTCAGGCTAAGCTCCAACTTAATATGTAGCCCAGGCTGGCCTTGAATTTACAGCCATCTTCCTGCCTCAGCCAACCAAATGTTGAGAATACGTGTGTACCATCACACCTAGCTCTCCTTGAATTCTGAGTCATCTTTGCAGCTGACTGATGCACCATCCACATCTGAAAATAAATTAAAACACTAGGAACTGGAGAGCTGGCTCAACAACTGAGAACACTTACTGCTTTTGTACAGGAACCAGGGTCAATTCCCAGCATTCATATGGTGGCTCACAATCATCTGGAACCATACTTCCAGGGGATCCAATGCCCTCTTCTGGCCTCCAGGAGCACAAAGCACACACATGATGCACACATATGCAGCAAAACACCCATGAAACAAACCTAAAACCAGTTTGGGACATTTTCCACCAAACAATGATTGAAAAGACACACCACTCATGTGTTTTTAGAATGGAGAAAAAAAATGACCATAGGAATGCTGACATTGAAGAAGTCACTGTAAGAAAACAGAAAATATAAGCCTGTTTTTAAAAATCGCTGTATGAGGGCTGGGTGTAGATCAGTGGTAGAGTGCTTGCCCAGCATACACAAGGCGCTGGGTTGGATCCTTAACACACACACACCCAAAATGCTCTGAGTGAACAAAATAATAGCAATAGTAGTAGTAATAATAGTGGTAATGACAATGATGGTGATGGGAATGATGATAATAACATAGCTTCTAGAGATGAACAAAGAAGGTAAGCCAAGAACATCATGGAAGACCAAAAGGTGATTCAGGTTAGAACAATATTTTTTTTTTTTACTTAGGAAGAAAGAAGCTGAAATTCTCAAATCAATCAAAACTGCATATAAATAGAAACTGCATATAAATAGAAATGTCCCTAAAGAGACTGAAATATATATATATATAACCCCCAAGCTAGTGGAAGACAAAGAAAAACATTAAATGTGATCAGCCAAAAGGAAAAAGGGTTAAGTTCAAGATAAAATATGGGATGTTAGGGCTTTGTTTGGTTTTGTCTGATCTTGTGTCTTTGACACAGGAAAGGTGACAATGATCTAGGGACATTTGAACCTAGTTTATAACCAGAAGAGTTCAAAGTTTAACATGTATTTCATTTTTTTAAAAAATGTATCACTTTACTTATTTATTTGTGTGTGTGTGTGTGTGTGTGTGTGTGTGTGTGTGTGTGTGTGTCACTGTGCATATGTGGAGGTCAGAGGAGTCAGTTCTCTCCTTTGGCCTTGTGGGTCCTGGGGATTGAATTCAGCTCTACAGGCTTGGTCGTAAGCACTTTTACTGGCTGAGCCCACATGTACTTCACTTCATTAATAAAGTACTATAGATGCTTAAAATTAATTATAGCCCAAAAAGTTAAATGAAACAAAATACTTATCTTAAGAAGGTACTTTTCTGACTGTATGTTTGTCTTTTGTACAGTGTATGAGGATATGGAGTTTAACAACAGACGTAATGAAGGGACCAGCTCCCCATTTCGGCAGCCATTACAGCCGAACATGTGCTTATCTGACCTTGTCTTAGTCACTAGGAGGTCAGATGCCTGCCTTGTGGCAAGGAACTAATCAGAAGTTAGCTGGTGGTGCTATGCTTTACGGCTCTGGGTGTGCTTTACGGACAAGTGCACAGCAATGATGTGCAGAGCATAGCAATCACCCTGGGAGGGCCTATGGGCCATAACAACCATTTGACCAATCAACACAGGGAAGACCCTCCAAGCCTGGAGGCACACCAATCCTGAGCCTGTGTGTACCCCTAGACACTCCCCTTACGCTGCCCTATAAGATCTCTATGCAGACGCTTCGAGCTGTCTTTCCTAGCCATCCGCCATGGTGGGTGGATGAAAGACCTGAACTAACATGGGGTTAGCTCCTTAAACAACTACAATAAAGCCTCGTGAAGTTTGCATCAAGCTTTTGACTCTGCCTGGTGATTGCAGTGACCGCGGACCTGGGCTGAGATCCTGGAGGCCTGAGCTTCTGGGGGTCTTTCAGTACATACATGGCTGGGGATGCAGCTCAGTCGATAGAGTGTTTGCCCAGCATGTGCAAAGTCCTGGGTTTGATTCCCAGGACTACAGAAGTTTGGTGGAGCATGCCTTTACTCTCAACACTTGGAGGGTAGAGTGAGGAGCTATATTGAAAGTTGTTCTTGACTGCAAATTAAGTTTGAGGTTACCTTGGGCTACAGGAGATCCTGTCTCAAAAAAATAAATAAAAATTAGGGTCAGGCGATAGGTCTGTGAGCAAAGAGCTTGCTGTACAAGGATAAAGACTTGGATTTGATCCCCAGGACCAGCAGAAAAAAGCAGAGTGCAATAGCCCATGCCTGCAACCCCAGCACTGGGAAGGCAGAGACAAGAGGATCCCTGGGGCTGCCGAGGCCAGACAGTCTAGCCAAATAGGTGAGTTCCAGTGCAGTGGGAAACACTGTCCCAAAAAGGGAGGCACCTGAGACTGACCCCTGACCTCCACACACATGCACGCATACCTCCATGCATATGTGTAGAAAATCTAGGGAACAGGATCAATGCAGTCAGGAGTCTGATCCTAAGCTGAGATGTAATGACTGACTTATACCGCCTACTATCACAGATACAGCCATCTGTACAGGTGGCAAGTAAAGAGATGGCATAGTAATGATGCTGAGCTATTGTCCCAGCACAGGGATACAAACCAAATACATGGCTATTCAGCTTGTATTCACAGATATTTACATCACAGTGTGCCTTTATAATGAAGCCATACCTCTCCACCCCACCCCTGAAGTCAGCCTGGGTGGGTGTCCACTCACCATTTAAATAACCACCTGAATACTTACAACCTAAAGGGCAGGATCAGAAACACGGAAGCCACACCTATGATTCCTCAATAATATGGTCGAGTAAACAAGTCCTGAGCAAGTACAACACTGATAGACTAGCTAACATGGAAAGGGGTATCTCATGGGGCCCCTCCCATAGACAAAGAGCTATAGGCAGCTAAGGAATGCTGAGACTGGGAGAAATAGCCTTCTCCAGGGGAGAGCCACCAACCTAGTGGTCAGCTCTGAAATCATATACACACAGGTAACGTTAAGTGGACTGAGTAGGTGTGTGTGTGTGTGTGTGTGTGTGTGTGTGTGTGTGTGTGTGTGTGTGTGTGTGTGGTGCATGGCTAAAAGGCCATGATTTCTAGAGGGAACAAGAGTACATGGCAGGGATTGGAGGGAGGGAAGGGGAGGGGGAAATGATGTAATTTTAAATTTGAAAGTGTATATGTTTTTTATTAAAAGATAGTAGAGAAGGACAAATGTGAACAGAGGATCTGGAGAAAAGCAGAAACCTGCCAGGATTGAAGGGAGGAACAGGAACTGGAGGGATGGCTCAGTGGTTAAGAACACTTGCTGCTCTTGCAGAGGACCCAGTATCAGTTCCCAGCGCCCAGGTGGTAACTCACAACCAACCATCTGTAACTCCAGCTCCAGGGGACCCAGTGACTTCTGACCTCCATGGGCACTGCACAGACTTGGGACACAGACACGCGTGCAGGCAAAATGCTCATATAGATAAAATAAACACATCTCTAAAGAAGGAGGAGGAAGAGGAGAGAAATAGTTGACACCTTCTCATGCTTTGGATATGAGTGTCCCCCAGAAGGCTCATGTTGGAAGGCTTGGCTACAGAGGGTGGCACTGTTGAGAGATAACTGGGCTTTGAAGTCTCTGGCTTCTTCCGTGGATTAATCTCTTAATGGACTCACTACAACGGCATTACTGGGAGGTGGGGGAAGTGAGGTCTGGTCGGAGGAGTTATTTGTGCTTATGTTATATGCATAACTTGTCCCTGGCCCCCAGCACCCTTCCTTGCTTTCTGGCCACCGTGAAGTAGTTTCCCTCCCTACACACCTCCTCCATGAGGCGTCTGACTTCCCTAACAAGCCAACTGTCCATGGACAAAACTTCTAAGATCACCAGCAAAAATGAGGTTTCCTCCCTTTAACTGTTTCCCTCAAGGCATTTGTCACATTCTTTCTGTTCCGTTGAGGGCAGAATACGAACCTACGTGATACCTTTCAGCTCATCTTCTGCAGTTCCCAAAGAGATTAGAAAGCCTCACCCCGTTGTGTTTTGTTTGGTTTCAGGGCTCACTCTATCATCCAGGTTGGACTCAGACTCACAGCAATCCTTCTGCCTTAGCCTCCCAAGGACTGAGATCACAGATTTGAGCTACATCGATGGCCTATGTGATCAATTCTTTGCACCTCTGTATTGAGCCTGGGAAAATCACACCATGCCATAGCCATAATTCATAATCACTATCTCAAGAGGAGAGCTAAGGGAAGCTGAGACAGAGCGCCAGACACCGCACCAGGGTTCCCACTTGTCTGCTTTCTGCTCCTCTCAAAACCCAAACAAGCAGATAGCTCTTTTTCAGAGATAAACCCAAGGGCTAGAGAGTTGAAGCTAAATGAGCAGTTGGCAAAAAGAGAAGAAGCAAAGATGAGACACTGTCTCCAGACTGCAGCTCCTCCTACAGGAGTGCTCCCTCAAGAGAAAGTCTACAGACTGCAGCTCCTCCTACAGGAGTGCTCCCTCAAGAGAAAGTCTACAGACTGCAGCTCCTCTTATGGGAGTGCTCCTGGAGAAGCTGTCTACAGGCTGCAGTTCTCCCTTGAAGCATATATTCCCTTCCTTCTAGAAGGCAAGTGGAGAGACAGGATCACATCTTTCCCATAATCACCCGAGTAACCCACAAGATATTCTGCTTTCCTGTCAGAAGCTTTATCTGTGGACATTTATGCCAGGATTTCCCTGTCCGCTGGCAGATGGACCGCCATCCCCTTTGAGCGTTTCAGTGGCTAGAAGTTCCCCAACCCACACAGAGGCTTCTTCTATGCTCCACCACTGAGCGGTGCGAGACTCTGATGCTCTGAAATCTTTGTCCTGTGATTACTCACACTTACCCAGTGCTGTCTGCAGCAGCAAGAAATAAGCAGTGTGCTTTGATGAATACAAATACCTAAAGATAATCTCCATGTCCTAAGTCTCCTCTCAGCCAGGACACGTCTCCAGTTCCTTGGCTCTCCCAGGCGCCTACCACAATAAAAGGGAATGAACACTCACCACACTTGACCATTCCTACTTCGTAACACTTGCGAAGTCGGCAGGCCTGGCAGCTCTTGCGCCGGTTCTTGTCTATGGTACACTGATTCGTGGCTGGGCAGATATAATCATTATGTCCTACAGCAAGAAAAGGGGTGATTAATGCGATATTTTGAAGACACTGATAACACCATCCAGCAGTGCCAAAAGCAGCCACACTGAAGAAGATATTTAGGTACCTTTTGGTACTAGGGATTAAACCCAAGATCTCACACATGCCAGCCAAGAACTCTACCACTGAGCCGTATGCCCAGCATGGGGTATTATTCTTTAAATGCTTATTTAATTTTTTGAGGGGAGGAGGGTTTTCAAGACAAGGTTTCTCTGTATAGCCCTGGCCGTCCTAGAACTAGCCCTGTAGGCCAGACTGGCCTTGAACTCACAGAGATTCACCTGCCTCCCGAGTGCTGGGATTAAAGGATTAAAGGCGTGCTCCACCACCACCCAGCTTTATTATTTATATTCAATTTAATGTTTTATTTAATTTTATATGTATGTTTGTTTCGAGAGAGAGGAGGTATAGGTCAAGGGTCTTACAAGAGTCAGTTGTCCTTCCACTATGTGGATCCTAGGCATTTAACTCAGGTCTTCAGACTTGGCAGCAGGTGTCATTACGGACTAAGCCACAAAGGTTTATTTTTATTGTTTTGTATTTGTGCGTGCATGTGTGTGTGTGTGTGTGTGTGTGTGTGTGTGTGTGTGTTCATGTATGTGCCGTGTAGATCCTTGGAGACCAGAGAGAGCACTGGATTCCCTGGAACTAATTACAGGTGGTTGTGAGCTGCCTGGCATGGGTGCACATTTGGGTCCTCTGGGAAAGCCGCTTGCACTCTTGACAGAGCCATCACTCCAGGCCCTTATTTCTTAATTGCATTACACTAATAAACAAAATAATCTGCACTTCTCATGTGATGTCTGTGATGACCAGACTTCCAGTATCAGCAATGAGTGAAACATGTGAGCAAATCATTAAAAAAAAAAAAAATTCAAGTTGCCAAAGAATGCATGGGAGAAGAGGTTATTTATAGAAAAATGGAATTCTAAAGCTGATGATATCATTCAGCTGGAAGAGTGCCTGCCTGGCATACATGAAGCTTAGGTCAACCCCAGCATTACATAAAGCTGGGCATGGCAGCACATGCCTTTATTAGCACTTCAGAGATAAAGACAGGATAAAAAAGTTTAAGCTCATCCTCGGCTACATTCTAACTTAGTGGCCAGCCTGGGCAAAGCAAGACTGTCTTAGAAAGGAGGGAGAGAAAGAAATGTAATCCCATTAATAGGAAAAGTGCAATGACAATGTGGAGGGATAGATGCATTTGCGGTCAAGCCACAGCAAGGAAGGTAAAAGCTAGAAGCATCTTGGCTTTGGCGGGGGTCAAGGAGTTGGACTGCAGAGCTCATTCAGGGAGGAAGAGGCTGACTCATCACTGCCTCAGCTCTGGCTATTTCCTTTCCCATTCTTTATATCATTCACAGGATTTTTTCCTTAATTTAAATTAGAAACAATCTTATTTTATATATCAATCCCAGTTCCCTCTCCCTCCCACCCTCCCATGACCCCCACCTACCTTCATCCCGTCTCTCTTCTGCTCCATAGAAAGGGTGAGGCCTCCTATGGGGGACCATCAAAGTCTGTCACATCATTCATTCACAGAATTCTACATATATGTTAACACATGGTAAAAGGATAATTTGAAAATAACTCCAAGTGTATAACATCATATATAATTTAGCTTAAGTAAATATGTAAAATACAATGTTTTTCAAGTTTTTCCTAGTCTGTTTTTTTCTTGTAGTATACTCAAACTATGGTTAATTTTTTTTTTTTTATTGCAAAAGGTAACTTCTCTCAGCTGCAGAAATAGCTCAACAATTAAGAGCACCAATTGCTCCTCCAGAGGCCCATGTTCAATTCCTAGCACTTAAATTAAGACCTACAACCTTCTGTAATTCTGGTTCCAGGGAATTCAATGCCCTCTTCTGGTCTCAGAGGGGATCAGATATAGACATACATGCAGACATACCAGAAAAATTAAGGCCTTTTTAAAAAGATAGCTTCTTGGGGGCTAGGGGACGGCTTAATGAGTAAAATATTTTCTGCAGGGACATGAGGACCTAAGATGTGATTCCCAACTAATAGGCAACTGTAGCAGCAGCATGTACCCATAATCCTCACGGTGGGGAGGCAGGGCTGAGAGTGGTGGATTCCTGAACAATGGCTGGCCAGTCTCATAATCAGTGATGTCCAGCATCAAAAGAAACTATTGCATAAATTAAGGTGAACAGTGATAGACAACACCCAATGTTGACCTCTGGCTTCCACACATGTGCACATGCATCCCTCACAAACATACGCACATATCAACAAGATAGCATCTCTAATATGGCCTCATATATATGAGAGAGAGAGAGAGAGAGAGAGAGAGAGAGAGGGAGAGAGAGAGAGAAGGAACAAAGATGAGTGCATGTCTATGCATACGTTTATATGGATATATTCATAAATCCATTCTCCAGCTCCATCCCCAGAGAGGACCTGCTGCAAGGACCTGTTGCAAGGGCAGTGAGAAAGGAGCACTCAGATCTTTTATTACTGTCGTTTTCCAGTAGGGGAATCAGAGTTCCACGAAAAAAAACAGCTAATTTCAGAACTAGGGCAGGTAACATGCACAACAAGCCTGAAACATTTTGTGCTAGAAAGGAAAGCAATGCCCAAAGAATTACAGGAACATATTGAAAAGACAGGAGTCAGCTTAAGGACTCCTGCTGGCCTGATCTGAGATAATGTGAGCCTCAAAAAATAATGCTAGCAACCCAATACAAAAAATAAGAACCCGTAAGTCGTACTGATACAGATTAATTCATTGACTTGGTGAAGAATACCATTATTTACTTAGGCTCAAAAGGTCTCCCAGCAAAAACATTCATTACAAAGGGGGAAAAGGGAATACTTTTACAGAATGGATACCTGGCAGCCAGTACCTTAATCAAATCATCAAAATGAGGCCACTAGCAACAGAACAAATTGAAATCATGCACCACTTGAAAGGAGCTAATGAACACAGCAGCATCTCTGGGCTGTCCCTGCTAATAATGCAGAGTCTGGGATGGAAGATCAGACAAAGCCAGAAAGAGGGGACATTATGCAAGATGGTGGCTCCGTCTTCCAAAGCTTCGTGATAATGGAAATAACACAGCTCTGAAGGACAGCGATGAGAGACATGACACCTAAACTCACAATCGGTTCACGATCTTGAGCCTTGTGCTGGGGAGAGCATTTGAAAACCTCCAAGTCTGAGCATTGGGTGATGATGGTAACGTGTGTGTGTGTGTGTGTGTGTGTGTGTGTGTGTGTGTGTGTGTGTGTGTGTGTTAGTTTGCCACCTGACACCCATTTGACAGTAGAATGACAGCGGCTATATAGGAAACACGTGTTAACTATTCTGAGTGATGAAGTATGTTGACAACATTTCCCCAAACAGTTCCAGGTGAAAAATTTTTTATATCATACATACATATTTTAAGTATGAGATTCATTAAAAATAAATACAGAGGATAGAGCACATCTGTAATCACAGCGCTTGGGAATGGAAAGACTTCAAGGCTAGCCTGGGCTACATAGCAGTAAGATTCTCTCTAAAATATAAATAGTTAAATGTTTCCATTGGTTTTCTTTAAAAAAATAGCTTACTATTCACTCAACTACTATAGCTCAAGGTCTTCCTCATTCATTTGAGTTACCGGTAGAATCAGTACCTTGTCGTCATAGGACTCGGGTCCATTTCTTGCTGTCTATTGACTGCACACTGCCCTCAGCTTCTACAGGCAGTGCAGTTCATTGTTGAGTACACAGAGTGATGTCAGTTTTCTTCCAAGCCAGGAAGAATGCATCTGTGACTCCAAATTTCTCTCTAATCTTTGTGATGGAGTCTTTAAAAAAAATATTTATAAGCCAAGCATGGTGGCGCACACTTTGAATCCCAGCACTCCAGAGGCAGGTATATCAGTGTGAGTTCAAAGCCACAAAGCCAGCTTTGTGGTTTAGAAAGTGAATTCCAGGCCAACTAGGGCTGCATAGTGAGATCTATGTATTTAAAAAAAAATACAGATAGATATAAGATTTTATGTGCTTGTGTGAATACCTACATGTGTATATGTGCACTACATGTGTACTGGTGCCCATAGAAGCCAGAAGAGGGTATCAGATATCCTGAGAACAGAGTTACAGACAACTGTGAGCTGCCATGTGGTTGCTGGGAATCGAACCCCTGTCCTCTGGAAGAGCAGCCAGTGCTCTTATATATGAATTTGAAAGAGAACAAAGAGGCATGTGAGAGGGATTGAAGGGAGTAAGGGAAGGGGGAAATGATGCAATTATAATCTCAAAAATAATATATATATATATATATATATATATATATATATATATGTCTAT